GAATTGAAACTCCTAGATCTTTTGAGATTCATTGAACTTTTCAGTGACATGTTTAATCTCGATTATGCCCTTCAAGTTTGTGACTAGGATGTCGAGGATCACAAACAAGGTGTGGATAACCATGCAAATATATTTGGTACTCTCAATGTTACAATCACGTAATCAATGTGCCGGTTAGCCACACACGCTCCATTGATCTATGACAAACATCGAGTCACCCTTTGCCCCCTTCGCTAGACTCAAATTAGTGTGCCGGTTAACCACACACGCTCCACTAACGTCTTGGCATGGGTACAAAGTGTAATTTCATAGAATAGCATCAATTCCACATTTTTCCTAAAGTAACCAAGATTTGGGAATTTATAAAAGGGTTTAGTTACTTCGTATTTCATTATACTTATAATGGAAGGTTGTGTCATATCCTACCCGTTCGGCTAACGACCCTCCACTAGTCAAGAGTACGGTGGGTAAGAGTGGATACCCATTCAATCGTCATTTTATAGGCAATTTCCTTAAACGCCCCTTAGACACCAGCTTCGTGAATGAGGCCTACTAATGGTAAGACTGACTCTTTACTTATACATATATAATATGTTAAACCTTTAATGTTATATAGTACAAGGTGTATTTTATACTTTTAAAATACTAAGTGGTTTAAACTTATTAATAAATTAGACCTTTAATTTGATTAATCTCAAACCATATAATTATGATTTATTAATTATCTCTTTTAATTAAACTCTTAATTAAATTAATAAACCATAAGGGTGTAAATTGAACTTTTCAAAACTTTATGGTTTTAGAATTTAATATTTCAAAATTAATACCTTTTAATTAAAATTAAATTCCAAAACCTGAGGGCAAGTTTTGAAACCTTTCAAAACGTTAGGGTTTAACTATTTAAATTTCAAAAACTAAAACTTTTAAGTTCAAATTTAAACTATAAAACCTATAGGGTGCAATTTGAAACTTTTACAAATTACTAGGTTAAATATTTGACTAATAATAATCTTATATTATCCATATTTAACCAAATCCATCAATTTTGATGAAGATAATCATTCCAAACTTAAAATATCGGATTTTGGCAAGAAAAACGAGTTTTGGCAATTATCCTCAACAAAATCTGGTAGAAAAATCAAAAATCCCGGCACCAGAGCCCTGGACTCGTCGAGTCCACAATGGAACTCGTCGAGTAGGACCTACTCGTCGATTCCATTCATGGACTCAGCGAGTCTGCCTGACAGAAACCAAAAATTTCGATTTTCAAGATCTTTGTTGGTTCACTTTTGCATCTATTCACTAGAAAAACGACCTAGGCTCTGATACCACTGTTGGGTTATGAGCATTACATCATTCCTATGGTGTACATGCACCCCTAATTGCTTTGATCTAGTTTTTCTACTATGAACACAACAACATTGAATACCAAAGCATAAACCCTAGATCTAACATGCTATTATCGAAATTAACATAAGATTAGGGTTAGAAACTTTACCTTGATTGTTATGTAGTAATAACAATCGCAATCCTTCTTGATCTTGACTTCTGAAAGCTTAGTGACTCAAGTGTTGCACCTCTAATGGAGTCACAAACACCACTAGCAACAAGATGACTTAGGAGAGGAATGAGGAGCACCAAAAACGTCCAAGATCTTCTAGAGGAAGCTTAGCCATGTTTTTGGGAGCCCTAGGGGTCTTTATATACTTGTGTGGGCTGCTAGGGTTTCAGGTGAAACCCTAATTCTCTGCTTAGGCCTTAAGCAACCCATGGAGTCCCTCTAGAAAGCCCTTGGACGAAACTCATATGGGCTTCCCATAGATTTCGTCCAATGCCCTTTCCATTAGGAATCCATAGCCCAATTTGCAACTATAATATAATTGCAATATCAGTCCCTTTTATTTAATTAATCTCTTCTAGCCACAAAATCAATTCTTAATTAATTCTTGACTAATATTTATTAAACAATATGATTTCTCTTTTAATATATTATTCTTATGACATATTAATAAATCATAATTAATCCTCTTTCTCCTTAATTCATCCTATCAGTTGCTATGGTGAAGGCAACCCAAAAGGACCATGCTCATAATCGGGTCAAGTACATACCAAAATAGTTATGGGCTTAGACACCTAATCAAACATTTCTGACTACGCTTATTGTTTTTGCATGACTAACAAGTAAATCACATAACCCTAAATAGTATTTTACAGTACAAGTAATAAGAGAATGTTATTAATTATAGCCTTAAACGGGTTAATCGGGTTAACCCGAACCCGATTAAGAGAGTTTTTATACACCCAAAACTCGACCCTATACATACTACGGGTTATTCGGGTTGACCCGATTTCAATTTTAGACCCGATTAACCTGACCCTATTTACATTATTCAGGTTCGGGTTCGGGTCGGGTTAGTCGGGTTCGGGTTTTTTTGACACCCCTACCTACTTTTGATCGTAGCTTTGGTTAGTTCTTTATAGTCAATGCACATTCTCATTGTACCATCCTTCTTCTTTATGAACAATATTGGAGCTCCACAGGGTGATCAACTAGGTATTATAAAACCTTTGTCCAACAACTCCTGGAGTTATGTCATTAACTCCTTCATTTTTGTAGGCACTAAAAGATGCGGTGCTTTCGCTATCGGTGTCATGTCGGCCAGTATTTCGATTCTGAATTCTACCTGCCTCTCTGGTGGTAATCCTAGTAATTCATCTGGAAATAACTCAGGAAAATCTAGCACCACAGGTATATTAGTCATTGCCTTCTTCTCCTTCTTCTTTTTTATCACATATGCTAAGAACGTTGTACATCCCTTGACTAGGCATTTTCTAGATTTCATCATCGTGATGATTCCAGACTTTACTCTACCCTTATCTTTATACACTATGAATGGCTCTCTCCCTTAGGGATTAATACGCACCATCTTTCTTCCACATAGGATGTTTGCAAGGTTTTCTCCTAACTAGTCCATATCGAGAATTACGTCGAACTCACTTAACTCGAAAGGTAAAAGCTCTCGATGAATTTTGTTTCCATCCAAGTTAATGCTTACGGCCTCTAACCTATTGCTAACAGATACATTCCTACCACCAGCTACTTCTACTAAGATAGGGGTACTTAGCCTAAGTGGTGATAACTTAAGTTTCCTAAAAAATTCATGTGATATAAATGAATGATCTGCTCCATAATCAAATAATATCTTTACATGAATTTAATTAACTAAGAATGTACCTGAAGCAACATCAGTCTCTTACTTTGCTTCATTGAGGGTCTTCTGGTAGCTTCGACCCTTGGGCTTTGGTGTTATGATCCTTGGTATTGGTTTCTCAACCTTTGGGCACTCTGCCTTCATGTACCCCTCCTCTCCATAATTGAAATAAGTTTTTCCTTTTACTGGGCAATTTATAGAAATATGCCCTAGTTTCTTGCACTTGAAGCAGACAACACAGTCGCCGAAATGCTTCTTCTTGCACTGGTCACACCACTTCCATTCCTAGTTTCTTTTAGTCCTATTGCTTGACTTTGATAACTTCTTCTTCTTGTTGTGTTTTTGTTGTTGTTTCCCTCGACTTTCCTCTTTTCACCGACTTCCGCTCTGTCGGTAGTCCTTTTCTTAATCATTCCTTCCACAGACGTATTCCACCAACGAAGTGGCTTTTTGGGACTCAACATTTTTCCTAACATATTCCACCAACGAAGTGTTGTGCCCTTGAACTGCCTTACATATGGCGTGAAGTGGGTGGGGCTGCATGGTCTTATCAGGCCCGTCGCGCTTCTAGCGTGCGAGCGTACCGTTTTTCATATTTTCAAAATTGCGTAACTTCTTCATACAAGCTCCATTTTTTTACGTTCTTTATATACACGCGTAGCTATCAACGGGATCCACAACTTTCATTTAGACTCTGTCAGCTAATTTTAAATTTATTTTTTTCACACAGGCTTAGACTATTAAAGCCCGTATAAAATGCATAACTCTTTCATCCGGTGTCCATTTTTGACAGACTTTATATCATTGGACTCCTATTAACGAGATCTTTAATTCTGGTTTAGAAAAATCATAATTTCCTTTCACGAAGTCAGATTTAGACGTTCTTTATATGCACGCTCTCGGTTTAATGACTACTATGATTTTCGTTTAGATTACTTAAGTTAAAAAGTGATCTATCCAAATTTCACTTTTTACGATACATAGAGATGTGTCGATTTAATCGCGAAACTTTGAAGAAACATAACTTCTTCATACGAAGTCGGATTTGAAAGCTCTTTATATCTCCGGAATCCTTATAGCGTATACTACAATTAGGTTAACATTATTTGTCCTAAATAATCTTTTATCTTCGACGCGTATTTTAACCTTATTTATTATATTATTAAATACTTGTACAGTTTGCATAAAATATCGTAGAAAACACATAAGCACGTAAATATATGAATAATTCTTTTTTATTCATTCATATAAATGTTACAATAGTTTACCAAAGTGATTACAAACTATGACTAATCTAGAAGGAAACGGGGGCGTTACATTACTCTTGCATGGTGGATACTTCTAGAGAATCTCTTCTTTGAGTAGTTTGTCATCTTCATCAACTTCCTAATTGCCAAAAAGAACCAAAGACTTCAAAGGATGTAATCTTTTCTTTTTCTATGGTTGTTTAATCTTTCTAAGTTTTGCAAAATGATCATTGATCAGTAAAATGGTTTTTGTTTATTCAAATGTAAAATCGTTTCCGTTGTTAATTACGTCAAGTTTGACACTATAACTAGACTATTTTTAAATAAAACGCAACACTATATACATACATGTATGTGAGGTTTTTTTAGGCCTAACACCCTTTAATGTATCACCTTTGTTCCAGATGATTATTAAGAAGATTAATTGTGTGCATACAAACATGTGCATATCCTATATACATACATGTATGTTTTTATGGACATATATGTACATACATCTTTAATTGGCATATATCTCTCATCGTTTTACTAGAAAATCAAGCGATAACCCAAAAGAAGTGCCCCATGTCGATGATAATGACGTTTGATTTATCTTGCTGGTTATCTATTAAAAGAAACTTAAAAATCGGCAATTGTTTTATCAAAAAAATAAATCCCCCCATTTATGTATGCATCCTTTGATCGACCTATACAGAAACACCATGAATAATTGCGTAAAATAAGAGGTTCCTAAACAGGAGAGATGATAAAAAGAAAAATAAAGATGCATGGATCGAAAGAATGGCAAAATTACGGTCATTTTGGTTGTATCTTCAATGACCGTATTCTTTTGCCAACGATCATCATTGTAAGATCATTTTTGGCATGCATTCACCTTCAAATCTTCATCCAGATAGAACGATCATCATCTTTTTACCACAACAAAACAAATTTCGTCACTAAAAGAGTCTAAATAATTTATTAATATCTCAATCATGACCTAGCTAGGGTCCATCGTATCAATATGTTCTTTTACAAATTCAAACTTAATCTTTTTGATTTTTTGTGAAACTTTCCCGTCTTGTTAGTTTCATCTATACGAAATATGGGTGCGTGTTGTACATGCCAAACGGGCTTGAGATACCGATCGGCACCCATGGATGACCATCATGCCAAACCAAAGGACATCGAACCCGAGGATAGCAACCAAGTTATAGCCATTGGCGATTGTGGGGCTCGTATAAGGTTACAAGGGTCTACAAAGTTTATATCCATGTTCACTCGACAAGGACGAAAAGGGGTCAATCAAGACGCGATGACAGTTTGGGAAGTAAGAATTTGTAAAACCCTAGATTTTGAAGATTTATAATCATGTAAGATTTTGTTCAAGAAACCTTTAAATTGAATCATCGTACAATTTTTCAGAACTTTGGTGGCAAAAGGGATATGGTCTATTGCGGTGTATTTGATGGACATGGTCCATTTGGTCACAAAGTATCGTGTTATGTACGCAATACTTTGCCATCAAAACTCTCATGGCTATTTAGAGATTCCGATATTCATGGAAAAACTTGTTCCCATCATGGTCATGGTTCTAAGAAAAAGGTGATAAATATAGACGATAGTAAAGATCCCGTTCTTTCTTCGTGGAAAAAGAGCATTGTTGAATCGTTCAAAGAAATGGATGAAGATCTTGAAGCAAATAAGAGCATAGATAGCTACGGTAGCGGCTCTACATCGGTATCTGTAATTAAACAGGTATCGGTGCTTATTGTCACTACTCGAAACTTAGGCATTAACGACGAATTTTAAGCAGATTGAATCCGTCAAAACACCGTTAGCGACGGATTCAATCTGTTCAACTCATCCATCGCTAATGCTCAAAGTATTAGTAGTGTCCAAAACTAATAATTGATGTAACATAATTGTTTGGTTTCTCATATAATGGTAGAATTCGTAGGGCAATAACTTGATAATCACAAACTTAGGAGATTCTCGAGCACTCCTTTGCACAAGAAATGGGAATCAACTTCACACATTCCAACTAACGGTTGACTTAAAACCTAACACTAAAGGTAAAAGCTTTTTTCCAATACTATAATTGTGGATCCTCAATATGTCCTTTCGCGACACTTGTCCATTACATACATTCACACATGGGAAATTCGTCGCTTGCCTATCGCAGAAAAGGTTTTGTTAACTTTTATTAATGAAATACATAATGAAGTTTCGAAAATTAGCAACAAAAGTTTCTTGGTTTGCAACATTTATGTACAATTTCCATTATATAGTGATTCTTAATGAATGATCACTAAACAGGCGAATACGAAAGAATAAAGAGTTGTGGTGGGAGAGTACAAGCAATGGAACGTGAGTTGAGTGTGTTTAGGGTATGGATGCCGGATCAAGATTGCCCCGGACTTGCAATGTCATGAGCTTTCGGGGATTTCTGTATAAAAGATTATGGACTTATATGTATTCCAAATATATACTACCATAAACTAACGGACAAAGATGAATTTGTGGTATTAGCGACGGATGGAGTAAGATCAAGATCAAAACTTTCACATTGTTCGATGTAACCCTATGTTCATTTTTTGATTTTATGTTGATTTGGTTTAGGTGTGGGATGTGCTCACAAACAACGAGGTGGTAAAAATAGTCGGATCTGTAAGGAACCGATCAATGGCGGCAAGATTTCTAATAGATAACGCGATGCGAGCTTGGCGACACAAGTATCCATCTTCAAAAACCGACGATTGTTCGGTCGTTATTTTTTTTTTAAGAAACAACGATTTTCTTTAGCAAAATCAGGCCCTGAATTGATCGATTTAAGTGTGGATGATCACTAGGATCTTGATGCAATGAACATACAACCCTAAAATCGATTGGGGATGATGGCTTTGACATTGCTATATTACCACATTGAAGGAGATAAAAGTTCGAGAAAGGCAACCAAGAAAGCACAACTTCTCAAGTGAAGGGCATGTGAAAGATCGATTGATGGACTCAGGTATTCGTTTGGTTTTAGATAGAGTTTCAGATGATAGTGATATAGAAGCAATCTAAACTCGATGAATATATGTACTTGTAGATGAAGAACAAAGTGGATTTCGATGTGTATACATAGGAATTTCACGTCGATTTCACTTTAATATAAACTCGGAGTTAACGGTTTTCACGAGAGAAGTTCACTCATATCATGATCCTTAAATCAGTTAAATATAATAGAAACACATGTAACTAAGAATGTTCAAAAAAAAAAAATTAACCATCCATGTTCATTCAAATCATTCATTGATCATAAAGAGAAGAGTACGTATTTGTACATTCAATCATTAAAGTTTATAAAAAATACAAAAAATAGGAACAATGTCAAAAATAACTATGTACTTTTTGATTTGTATGCTTTAGGGGGTGTCTGGGAAAACAGTTTATTAGCTTATTAGCGGTTCCACACCGCTATAATCTAAAATAGTGTTTCAATAAAAATAGTTTATAGCGGTAACAACCCGCTAATAAGTTATCTTTTTAATAAGTTAACTCCTAATTTATTAGCTTATAAGTCAATAAGCTAATAAGCTATAAGCTAATAAATAATAATTTTTTTTTTGCTAAACACCAACTTAGTTGAGTGTTTTTTTTAGTGTATACCTAGTATCCCCACTTTCTAGTCTCAAGACATTTAGTTAGCACATTTTTGTTTAATAATAAAATATTAGACTATTCATAAATGTATATTACGGATGACGATGTGTTAATTTGTTTTGGTTATTTTTGGCTTGACTGGTTTAAGTAAACGGGTTGTCTTAATCCAACCTAACATGTTTATTTATCAAATAGGTTGATCTGGTTGTTTATTTTATCAAACGGGTTGACCTGATTATTTATTTTTATTCTTTTTATCAACCTAACATGTTTAAAAATACATAAAACTTAAAACTTCATTAATCTTTCAAATAAAAATACATAAAACTTAACAACTTCAATAATTGTTAAGAATGATTGAAGGCCGATAGTGAGATGACAAAGAAGGAGAAGGAGGCAGAGTACTTTCAAAAATACTATAGCGATTAGGGTTTGTTCATAATATGGAAGGGTAGGAGGAGACCGATAGTAACGATTAAGGTTATGTGAGACAAGAAGAATAACATAGTAGGCGAGTAAGGATTTAAGGTTTATCCGATTACGGCTACTACTTGTATCGTGTATATTTTTATTTTCTTTTCTAAACTTTAAATTATTAAAATATTAATTACATATTAATGCTAAATAAATATAAACTTAAAAAACTTAAAAATCTTAAACAGGTTAGCAGGAAATTTCAACCTAACCTAACTCCTTAATTAAAGGTCATAGACTAATTGACCCGTTTAATTAAATGGGTTGAAAATCTTAATTCAACCTGCTAATTATTAGGTTGGGTTGGGATTGACAACTCTAAATATATTAATTAAAAATCAACAAAATACAATAATAATAAGTTATCTCATTGACAATTTCGAACTATTAAGGTAAAAAATGATCACAACCCTAACTACAATACCCTAATTGATTATTTAACACCGTCAACCTTCATGAGCATAAGGTAAAGCTCGACTTCAACTTAATCAATATTTTCTTAGAGAGTCTAAAAAGAAATAAAATAGACTCGATTCGAAAACCATAAATCTCTACAAATTTGTTACTTACAACTAGTCGCAATATTAGATCATAGCAAAAACTATTAATCTCCCATACGTTACCCTAATACCAATTTACTCCATAAACTTCATACCATAAATCCAACAACATTTGATTAACAAAACCGGTTTAGCGAAAATTAGCCTTTGCTCATATTCATAGAGCTATAGCCGATAAAAAACACTTTCGCCAAGCAACATTGGAATTTGTCATTTCCCACCCTCGTCCTTCCTTGTAGCATTCAACCTACCATTGCCAAATGCCAACAGTCAGAATCTGAGTCAAATGTCTAAAATACCCTTAGATGATGGAAGCCACTTACAGTGTCGTTAATTTCTTTGCCACTTTTGAGGCCACCAAAAACGTAAATAGAATCTCCGGCGACTGCGGCGGCCGAAAATCCCCGAGGGTGGTTCATTGGCTCTCCGGTCATCCATGATCCAGCTCGAGGATCATAGACTTCTACGGTTGACACCATTGCATTACCATCATAACCTCCTAAAACATATCTACAAATCAACAACAAATTTAGCATTAAACTATCAATGTAACAACATTTTATTTTAATTTTTTTTCGAATTTATGCAACAAAGTTGTTTTTAGATGATATATGAAACCACAAAAATAAAACATTCTCATGATTTGGCACCGGTTAAATGTTTATTTATGTAACTTTGTTTTGCTCTTTTACCAATTTATGTAACAATGTTTCAATTTTTTACCATTTTATGCAACAATGTTTTTCTCTTTTACCACATTATGCAACTATGTTTTTCTCTTTTACCACTTTATGCAACAATGTTTTTCTCTTTTACCACATTATGCAACTATGTTTTTCTCTTTTACCACTTTATGCAACAATGTTTTTCTCTTTTACCACATTATGCAACTATGTTTTTCTCTTTTACCACTTTATGCAACAATGTTTCACCTTTTTACCACTTTATGCAAAATGTTTCACCTTTTTACCATTTTATGCAACAATGATTCATTCTTTACCAATTTATGCATCAATGTTTCACCTTTTTAGTTTTTCACCAATTTATGCAACAATGTTTCACCTTTTTAGTTTTTACCAATTTATGCAACAATACGTTTCAACTGGTTAAACAAGTTACTAACAAAATGTCACATCTTTTTGTCCTAAAACAAAACGTGATGCACATTTCATATAAAAAAACCACTTTGTTGCATAAATATGAGAAAAAGTGAAACATTGTTGCATTAATACACATTTAACATGTGAAAAAAAATATCAGAAGCCTTACAGTTTTTCATTCAAAACGACCATAGAAGGGCATCCCCTCACTGAACTCATACTCGCTATTTTCTTCCAAGAATGTTCTCTGGGATCAAATCTTTCAGCAGTCCTGCAGACATAACAAAATTTCCACTTAATAAGAAAGAAGAAGGGTATTCACGTCTTTTTCACATTAAGAACGCCTTAAAGATGAAGTACCTCAAGTAGTATTTTTCATCATAACCACCAGCAGCATAAAGTGCCCCATTAAGTTCAGCAGCAGCCAAAGCAAACCTCTGAAAGAACATATATACATTTTCTTTTTAGTAGTTATATAATTTCATTTGAATCTTTTACAATTTTATAAAAAAAAATTTAACCTTTTGAAGCATAGAGCGAGTTGGAATCCAAGAGCCAATATCAAAATCCAACATTTCAACAGCTGAATAGCATTCTACACCATTTCCACCACCAACTGCATAAATTTTATCATTCACAGTAGCTCCACCAAGACTTCCATTTTTCCTACTTAATGGAGGGCAAATTGTCCACTCATTTGCTACCGGATTATATGATTCAGCTTCACATATACAAACAAACAAAAAAGTAAACAATCATTACTTAAAACACGATTGTGAGGAGATAATGAGGATCCCGTTGTTACAGGGGGAAAAAACGAGACTGAACAAGGGTATTTACGTCTTTTACACACATAATAAATCCAGAGGAAGTCATGGGACAAAAAGCTGCAATTTTTGTCCCAATACACCAATGCACAATAACCTTTCTAGGGCTATTTTTTATGATGAGGATAAGAAGGGCATTAACGTCTTTTACACACATGAAAGATCAAGAGCGAGTCTTTGTCCCACCTTTTTTAATGGGACAAAAAACTGCATTTTTTTTGTCCTATTGACATCGATCTCACTCACAATCCATTGCACAATAACCTTTCTAGGGCTATTTTTTATGATGAGGATAAGAAGGGCATTAACGTCTTTTACACACACAAAAGATCAAGAGACAATATTTGTCCCACCTTTTTGAATGGAACATAAAGTTGTAATTTATATCTCATTGACATCAATCTCAGTCTCAGTCCAATGCATGACAAGCATTCTAGGGCTATTTTCCATGATGAAGATAAGTAGGGGTATTTCCGTCTTTTTCAAACACAAAATTTCGATCGCGGGTCCCAGTCTAACCACGTCCCACCTTTTTAAATCATACAAAAAACTGCACTTTTTGTCTCACTCACACCAGTGTCCCAGTCCGAGTCCGAGTCCCAGTCCCATGCATAGAGGGCTATTTTCCAAGATGATGATAAGGAGGGGTATTTCCGTCTTTTTCACACACAAAAGTTCAATCGCGGGTCCCAGTCTAACCACGTCCCACCTTTTTAAATCATACAAACAAATGCATTTTTTGTCTCATTCACATCAGTCTGAGTCCCAGTTTCAGTCCAATGCATACCAAACACAGTAGTACCTGTATCGAACCACTGACCACTTGTCCCACCACCAAAAACAAAAATATCACCATCTAACTTTGTGACAGCTGCATAACATCTTTCACCATTCATGGGCTCAAGAGGTCTAGTCATAATTTGTGAAGGTGTGTAGCATTCTAATGATGATAACCATGATACACCATCATATCCTCCCACAAGAAGGATTGAATTGTCAACCGAATTTTCCAAATTGATTCCATTATCTCCTTTTATTTCATAAAATTCTTGACTATCTACAGATGTTTCAACAATGTGACACAGATCTTTTAGGTTCTTGATTTCAATTTCCGCTTCAGCCTGAAATGTATCATAACATACAAAAATAAAAAAGTTATTTATATTGATATTTGATATTTGATATTTGATACTACACCATTCCAAGAATTTTTGCTTTTTTTTATATGAATATATCATGAAGACAGTAGTTAGTGTTTCTGCAAAAAGGTAATTCTTTCAGCTATCTGTAATGTAGCCCACACTGAACAGAATGTGAGATGTAAATAAGATACACAGTGGCCCACTAGGTGGCTAACATGGGTTTATGAATTTAATATTACTTATAGGGTTATATCCGGAAAAGTCTCATTATTTTTGGAAAATTTTTGATAAAGTCGTAATTTTTTTTTTTGAAAAGAAAATTCCTGATTATTTAACATTTTGCCCAAATTAATGAAAAAGTCATTTTTTTATTTTAACAGGAAAGGGTTTTATGCAGAAAAGTCTCATTATTTTAGGAAAATTTTTTATAAAGTCCTAAATCTTCTTTTTTAACAGAAAAGT